TAGTAGATTAGCTGGGACAACCCTACCAGGGAGGGGGGGGGGCATTAGTAGATTAGCTGGGACAACCCTACCAGGGAGGGGGTGGGTTAATTGGTAGATTAGAGTAGCTTGGAAAACCCTATCAGGGAGGGGTGGTATTTGTTTGCTTACGATCCATAGGCAAAACACTCCATGCGAAGTTCCTCCCCTCTCATCGGCGGTTTAGGAAAGACAGCAATGAAATCGTTGTGAATATTAGGGCCCCAGTCAGCTCTGGCAGCTAAAAAACCAAATCATTAAAGATATCCTTCAATTTATAAAAGTCTTATCAATTACATTTTATGTGTCAGGACTGTTAAGTGTTTCTTGTTTTTTATTAAAAACTGTAACAGAATCTGCGACTGAAAGACCCATGCAGCCAAAACAATATTTTCTGGTTCGTACCTGAGTCGGAAACAGAGAGGGATATGGCAAGACTTGTTTTACTGGGTGGCTGGCTAGATCCTACGACCGTGGATGACACTCCTGACAGTGTCACCTGACAGTAGTAGTCCGCCTCGTCTACCCGAGTGACCTCCGTGAAGTACAGCTTGCCATTGGTAGATATAAACATGTAGGGCATCAGTTCGGTGTAGATGTATTCAAACCCAGAACCACTGAAGCCCTGTCTCATCCAGTTATATACCACATCTGACAAAAGAACAAGATCAGTATTAATAAACAATGCTTGATGTCAACACAGGAGACCATTATCATGTATCAAAACCTTGATAGAATGCCACTGATTTTCCAGAGAAATTTTGGCATTATAAAACATATAAAGGAATTCTTTAGAATAAGAGAAACTGAACCTTGCGACATGTTGATGTTCAGCGAGGTGTTAAAGGACACGATGATATGTCAAGGTTTTTCTGTTCTTACCTGGTTTATATTTGATGTCACTGCACGACACGACTGTCCCATCGTAGGCCACAGCTGGCACTGGGGCGTCTTTGACATTGGAGAATTCTGCTAGGACTGCAAACATAAATATTGATATTCAATTTTCAACAACTGATAATAACCATAAATCAGACTCAACCGTCAGTTGTGCTGTAAGTAATCGGGGTATTACCAGTGTCACTAGTCATACTTACAGCCGAATGACATCTGTATCGGGTCACTGATGATCTTTCCGAATCTATTCTCCACCTCACATCTGTAATACCCGGCATCTTCCTCTTCATTAGGCAACTGAATGGTCAGTTTTCCATTAGTTAACGTGTAACGCTCACTTGTGGATGGAGAAACCTTATAAAGAACATAATATCAGGAATTATGTTATTATAACACGATACATACAAAAATAGTTTATGAGCAATGAAAACAAATTAAACAGCCCAACACTCCAAGTTAATCCCCCTCCCTCATAAACAGTTAATACGGCTATTTCACATTTAAAGTGGATTGGACAACCTGAAAAGTGGGTCATGGATAGTGGAACAAATGGATAAGTGGGGGCTGGATAGTGGGACAACCAGATTAATGGTGGCTGGATAGTGGGACAACTAGATTAGTGGGGGCTGGATAGTGGGACACCCAGATTAATGGTGGCTGGATAGAGGGACAACCATATTAGTGGTGACTGGATAGAGGGACAACCAGATTAGTGGTGACTGGATAGAGGGACAACCAGATTAGTGGTATCTGGATAGTGAGACAACCAGATTAGTGTTTGCTGGATAGTGGGACAACCAGATTAGTGGGGGCTGGATAGTGGGACAACCAGATTAGTGGTGGCTGGATAGTGGGACAACCAGATTAGTGGTGTCTGGATAGTGAGACAACCATATTAGTGGTGTCTGGATAGTGAGACAACCAGATTAGTGTTTGCTGGATAGTGGGACAACCAGATTAGTGGCGTCTGGATAGTGAGACAACCAGATTAGTGGTGGTCAGAGAGTTGGACAGCAGAGATTAGTTGTGGTCGGAGAGTGAGACAACCAGATTAGTGGTGGTCGGAGAGTTGGACAGTAGAGATTAGTGGTGGTCGGAGAGTGAGACAACCAGATTAGTGGTGGTCGGAGAGTTGGACAGCAGAGATTAGTGGAGGTCGGAGAGTGAGACAACCAGATTAGTGGTGGTCGGAGAGTTGGACAGCAGAGATTAGTGGAGGTCGGAGAGTGAGACAACCAGATTAGTGGTGGCTGGATAGTGGGACAACCAGATTAGTGGTGTCTGGATAGTGAGACAACCAGATTAGTGGTGGTCAGAGAGTTGGACAGCAGAGATTAGTGGTGGTCGGAGAGTGAGACAACCAGATTAGTGGTGGTCGGAGAGTTGGACAGCAGAGATTAGTGGTGGTCGGAGAGTGAGACAACCCGATTAGTGGTGGTCGGGGAGTTGGACAGCAGAGATTAGTTGTGGTCGGAGAGTGAGACAACCCGATTAGTGGTGGTCGGGGAGTGAGACAACCAGATTAGTGGTGGTCGGAGAGTTGGACAGCAGAGATTAGTGGTGGTCGGAGAGTTTGACAACCAGATTAGTGGTGGCTGGATAGTGAGACAACCAGATTAGTGGTGTGTGGATAGTGAGACAACCAGATTAGTGGTGGTCAGAGAGTTGGACAGCAGAGATTAGTGGTGGTCGGAGAGTGAGACAACCAGATTAGTGGTGGCTGGATATTGGGACAACCAGATTAGTGGTGTCTGGATAGTGAGACAACCAGATTAGTGGTGGCTGGATAGTGAGAAACCAGATTAGTGGTGGCTGGATAGTGAGACAACCATATTAGTGGTGGCTGGATAGTGATATAATCTGTATTATTGGTAGCTAGATAATTGGGCAACCAGATTAGTGGTGACTGGATAAATGACTTTCAACAGTTCATGCACACAATATGACTAAATTACCTCTTCATTAATTTGTCTTTCGTCATCGCCACGGAACCAGCGGTAGGTAGGTGGGGGATTTCCCATGGCCCTACAATCAACGTAGGCCTGTTTTGATGCTGCGATCATGATCACATCCTCCGGCATCTTGGTAAACTGTGGTCCATATGTCATCGCCTCCTCATCTGTAATGTAGGTCCCAAACCCTGCCAGAAAAACAACGACAGTATTAATATACTGCATACAAAGCCTATTTTATCTTTTTTAAACAAACTTGAAAAGTAGTCAAATTGCATTATATATGTTTGTATTATAGGCCAATATTTGTATTGTAATTCTATGGTTGTATGGTAGTTCTATAGTTGTATGGTAAATCTATGGTTGTATGGTAGTTCTATGGTTGTATGGTAGTTCTATGGTTGTATGGTAGTTCTAAAGTTGTATGGTAGTTCTATGATTGTATGGTAGTTCTATAGTTGTATGGTAGTTCTATGATTGTATGATAGTTCTATGGTTGTATGGCAGTTCTAAAGTTGTATGGTAGTTCTATGATTGTATGGAAGTTCTATAGTTGTATGGTAGTTCTATGCTTGTATGGTAGTTCTATGGTTGTATGGAAGTTCTATGATTGTATGGTAGTTCTAAAGTTGTATGGTAGTTCTATGGTTGTATGATAGTTCTATGATTGTATGGTAGTTCTATAGTTGTATTGTAGTTCTATGGTTGTATGGTAGTTCTATGATTGTATGGTAGTTCTATGGTTGTATGGTAATTCTATAGTTGTATGGTAGTTCCATGGTTGTATGGTAGTTCTATGGTTGTATGGTAGTTCTATGATTGTATGGTAGTTCTATGGTTGTATGGTAGTTCTATAGTTGTAGTTCTATGGTTGTATGGTAGTTCTATGGTTGTATGGTAGTTCTATAGTTGTATGGTAGTTCTATTGTTGTATGGTAGTTCTATGATTGTATGGTAGTTCTATAGTTGTATGGTATTTCTATGGTTGTATGCTAGTTCTATAGTTGAATCGTAGTTCTATGATTGTATGGTAGTTCTATAGTAGTATTGTAGTTCTATAGTTGTATTGTAGTTCTATGGATGTATGGTAGTTCTATGGTTGTATGGGAGTTCTATGGTTGTATGGTAGTTCTATAGTTGTAGTTCTATGGTTGTATGGTAGTTGTATAGTTGTATGGTAGTTCTATGGTTGTATGGGAGTTCTATGGTTGTATGGTAGTTCTATGGTTGGATGGTAGTTCTATGGTTGTATGGTAGTTCTATGATTGTATGGTAGTTCTATAGTTGAATGGTAGTTCTATGGTTGTATGGTAATTCTATAGTTGAATTGTAGTTCTATGATTGTATGGTAGTTCTATAGTTGAATCGTAGTTCTATGGTTGTATGGTAGTTCTATAGTTGTATTGTAGTTCTTTGGTTGTATGGTAATTCTATAGTTGAATTGTGGTTCTATGATTGTATGGTAGTTCTATGGTTGTATGGTAGTTCTATGGTTGTATGGTAGTTCTATAGTTGAATCGTAGTTCTATGGTTGTATGGTAGTTCTATGGTTGTATGGTAGTTCTATGGTTGTATGGTAGTTCTATAGTTGTATGGTATTTCTATGGCTGTATGCTAGTTCTATGGTTGTATGGTAGTTCTATGATTGTATGGTAGTTCTATAGTTGTATTGTAGTTCTTTGGTTGTATGGTAATTCTATAGTTGTATGCTAGTTCTATAGTCGTATGGTAGTTCTATGGGTGTATGGTAGTTCTATAGTTGTATGGTAGTTCTATGGTTGTATGGTAGTTCTTTAGTTGTATTGTAGTTCTATGGTTGTATGGTAGGTCTATGGTTGCATTGTAGTTCTATGGCTGTATGGTAGTTCTATGGTTGCATTGTAGTTCTATGGCTGTATGGTAGTTCTATGGTTGTATGGTAGTTCTATAGTTGTATTGTAGTTCTATGGTTGTATGGTAGTTCTATGGTTGCATTGTAGTTCTATGGCTGTATGGTAGTTCTATGGTTGTATGGTAGTTCTATGGTAGTTCTATGGTTTTATGGTATTTATATGGTTGTATGGTAGTTCTATGGTTGTATGGTAGTTCTATGGTAGTTCTATGGTTTTATGGTATTTATATGGTTGTATGGTAGTTCTATGGTTGTATGGTAGTTCTATAGTTGTATGGTAGTTCTATAGTTGTATTGTAGCTCTGTGGTTGTATTGTACTCTATAGTTAAATTGTAGTTCTATAGTTGTAATGTAGTTCTATGGTTGAATTTTAGTTCTATAGTTGAATTTTAGTTTTATAGTTGTTTTGTAGTTCTATAGTTAAATTGTAGTTTTATTTTATTAGAATTGTAGTTCTATAGTCAAATTGTAGTTCTATAGCTTTTTTGCAGGTATACAGTAATATGTATAGCTATGTGCAATTAACATGTGTAATGTAAGTCAGCGTTTAGTACATTTATACTTCCTCACAAAGTATTGTTCTAGTAATGTGTTGCTCCAAGGTGTAAAGTACCTAGGATACCAAGCGGAGATGATATACTTCATGGAATAATTGATGACAATGATGGTCCTCGTTCAGGTCAGTGCTTACCGAAATCACGGTCCTCGTTCAGGTCAGTACTAACGGAAATCACGGGCCTGGTTCAGGTCAGTACTTAGGGAAATCACAGTCCTGGTTCAGGCCAATACTGACTGAAATCACAGTCCTTGGTCAGGTCAGTACTTACTGAAATCAAGGTCCTGGTTCAGATCAATATTTAGGGAAATCACAGTTCTGGTTCAGGTCAGTCCTTAGGGAAATCACAGTCCTGGTTCAGGTCAATATTTAGGGAAATCACAGTCCTGGTTCAGGTCAGTACTTACTGAAATCACGGTCATGGTTCAGGTCAGTACTTACAGAAATCACAGTCCTGGTTCAGGTCAATATTTAGGGAACTCACAGTTCTGGTTCAGGTCAGTACTTACGGAAATCACAGTCCTGGTTCAGGTCAATACTGACTGAAATCACAGTCCTTGGTCAGGTCAGTACTTACTGAAATCACGGTCCTGGTTCAGGTCAGTACTTACAGAAATCACATTACTCGTTCAGGTCAGTACTTATTGAAATCACATTCCTTGTTCAGGTTAGTACTTACGGAAATCACAGTCCTGGTTCAGGTCAGTACTTAGGGAACTCACAGTTCTGGTTCAGGTCAGTACTTACGGAAATCACAGTCCTGGTTCAGGTCAGTCCTTAAGGAAAACACCGTCCTCGTTCAGGTCAGTACTTACAGAAAACACCGTCCTCATTCAGGTCAGTACTTACAGAAATCACTGTCCTGGTTCAGGTCAGTACTTAGGGAAATCACAGTCCTGGTTCAGGTCAGTACTTCAGAAAGAAATCACAGTCCTGGTTCAGGTCAGTACTTAGGGAAATTACAGTCCTGGTTCAGGTCAGTACTTACCGAAAACATGGTCCTGGTTCAGGTCAGTACTTAGGGAAATCACGGTCCTTGTTCAGGTCAGTACTTAGGGAAAATATGGTTTTTATTCAGGTCAGTACTTACAGAAATCACAGTCCCGGTTCAGGTCAGTACTTATGGAAATTACAGTCCTGATTCAGGTCAGGACTTACGGAAATCAAGGTCCTGGCTCAGATCAATATTTAGGGAAAGCACAGTCCTGGTTCAGGCCAGTACTTAGGGAAATCACAGTCCTGGTTCAGGCCAGTACATAGGGAAAATATGGTTCTTGTTCTGGTCATTACTTACGGAAATCACGGGCCTGGTTCAGGTCAGTACATAGGGAAAATATGGTTCTTGTTCTGGTCATTACTTACGGAAATCACGTGCCTGGTTCAGGTCAATACTTAGGGAAATCACAGTCCGGGTTCAGGTCAGTACTTAGGGACATCACAGTCCTGGTTCAGGTCAATATTTAGGGAAATCGCAGTCCTGGTTCAGGTCAGTACTTACGGAAATCACGTTCCTGGTTCAGGTCAATACTTAGGGAAATCACAGTCCTGGTTCAGGTCAGTACATAGGGAAAATATGGTTCTTGTTCAGGTCAGTACTTACGGAAATCACGTTCCTGGTTCAGATCAATATTTAGGGAAATCACAGTCCTGGTTCAGGTCAGTACTTAGGGAAAATATATTTTTTGTTCAGGTCTATACTTACGGAAATCACGTTCCTGGTTCAGGTCAATACTTACGGAAATCACGTTCCTGGTTCAGGTCAGTACTTACGGAAATCACGTTCCTGGTTCAGGTCAATACTTACGGAAATCACGTTCCTGGTTCAGGTCAATACTTACGGAAATCACGGTCCTGGTTCAGGTCTATACTTACGGAAATCACAGTCCTGGTTCAGGTCTATACTTACGGAAATCACGGTCCTGGTTCAGAACCATGTACGCCATGTCCATGCTGATCTCACAGATGTAGTTGAGTTTGTCGCTAACTTCCGCCAGTCCCAGTTTGAACTCTACGTCTAGTAACAAAAATTACCATGGTAACAGTTAGTAACATAAAACAGCAACTCTAGCTCCTCATCATTCTGATATAGCACATGGTATCAGGAAAATGCAGCACCATGGTAGCATAGTTACATGGTAAAATACAGCAACATTTTAACAAACAGTAAAATGGTAACAAACAGCAACACGGGATCAACAGTAAAATGGTAACAAACAGCAACATGGGAACAACAGTAAAATGGTAACAAACAGCAACACAGGAACAACAGTAAAATGGTAACAAACAGCAACATGGGAACAGCAGTAAAATGGTAACAAACAGCAGCACAGGAACAACAGTAAAATGGTAACAAACAGCAATACAGGAACAACAGTAAAATGGTAACAAACAGCAACACAGGAACAACAGTAAAATGGTGACAAACAGCAGCACGGGAACAGCAGTAAAATGGTAACAAACAGCAACACGGGAACAACAGTAAAATGGTAACAAACAGCAACACAGGAACAACAGTAAAATGGTAACAAACAGCAACACGGGAACAACAGTAAAATGGTAACAAATAGCAACACAGGAACAACAGTAAAATGGTTACAAACAGCAGCACAGGAACAACAGTAAAATGGTAACAAACAGCAACACGGGAACAACAGTAAAATGGTAACAAATAGCAACACAGGAACAACAGTAAAATGGTTATAAACAGCAGCACAGGAACAACAGTAAAATAGTAACAAACAGCAACATGGGAACAACAGTAAAATGGTAACAAACAGCAGCACAGGAACAACAGTAAAATGGTAACAAACAGCAACACGGGAACAACAGTAAAATGGTAACAAACAGCAACACGGGAACAACAGTAAAATGGTAATAAATAGCAACACGGGAACAACATTAAAATGGTAACAATCAGCAACACAGGAACAACAGTAAAATGGTAACAAACAGCAACACGGGAACAACAGTAAAATGGTAACAAACAGCAACACGGGAACAACAGTAAAATGGTAACAAACAGCAACACAGGAACAACAGTAAAATGGTAACAAACAGCAACACAGGAACAACAGTAAAATGGTAACAAACAGCAACACAGGAACAACAGTAAAATGGTAACAAACAGCAACACAGGAACAACAGTAAAATGGTAACAAACAGCAACACAGGAACAACAGTAAAATGGTAACAAACAGCAACACAGGAACAACAGTAAAATGGTAACAAACAGCAACACAGGAACAACAGTAAAATGGTAACAAACAGCAACACAGGAACAACAGTAAAATGGTAACAAACAGCAACACAGGAACAACAGTAAAATGGTAACAAACAGCAACACAGGAACAACAGTAAAATGTAAATAAATAGCAACACGGGAACAACAGTAAAATGGTAACAAACAGCAACACAGGAACAACAGTAAAATGGTAATAAATATAACCAAGTTAAGATTCAACCAACTCACCCTTAAAAGTAAAGACAAGTACTGTGCCAGAACCACCAGAACTCATGAACTGTGCAAGGTCCGCGTTCAGGACACTAGAATCCCCCATCCATCTGAACATCTGTGCAATGGTGAGGTCCTGCTCACCACTTGTCAGCCATTTACTCCTACAAACAATACAAGTTACACATCTCACAACAATTTTACTGCCAAGTAAGGATTTATTGAAATAAAACATAAATATTCTGATCAACCATATATAAATCAGGTGTATGTAACAGGCTAAATTAGAAACATGTGTTCTCAAACGTGTCTTATTTTATAAGGAACCTGGTGTGGGGGCACATGTGTCTTAGGTCCTGATGAATCAGCATTGAGGTGACATGTGTCTTAGGTCCTGTTGAACCTGCATTGAGGTGACATGTGTCTTAGGTCCTGATGAACCAGCATTGAGGTGACATGTGTCTTAGGTCCTGATGAACCAGCATTGAGATGACATGTGTCTTAGGTCCTGATGAACACGCATTGATGTGTCAGGTGTCTAAAGTCCTAATAAACCAGCATTCAGGTGACATGTGTCTTTCGTCCTAATAAAACAGCATTGAGATGACATGTGTCTTAGGTCCTGATGAACCAGCATTGATGTGTCATGTGTCTAAACAGCTGTGGGGACACATATGTTAGGTTATGATAAACCAGCTGTGGGGGACATATATGTTAGGTTATGATGAACCAGCTGTGGGGGACACATATGTTAGATCCTGATGAACCAGCTGTGGGGGACATATATGTTAGGCTATGATGAACCAGCTGTGGGGGACATATATGTTAGGTCCTGATGAACCAGCTGTGGGGGACACATATGTTAGATCCTGATGAACCAGCTGTGGGGGACATATATGTTAGGTTATGATGAACCAGCTGTGGGGGACA